AAAAACACCCGTACCATTGCCCGTCCTTTTCTAGTATTAAAGGGCCAAACGTGAAAAGGACGGGGGACGGGTTCAAGTCACACCTGCCCGTCCCCCGTCCTTTTCACGTGTCCCTAGATTAATCCTAAAATTGTTCAATTAATGAATAACACAAAAGCTCCATATAACACAAATTCATTGACACCAAAAGTTGCTTTAAATGAATTTTCAGATGAAAATATAAATAAAATATATAAAATAGCCAAGAAGATTAAAGATGAAAAAATTAAAATTATAAAGTCCATCAAGGAAATTAAAGGAATTGGTAAAATATTAGGAAGCAATGATGCAAATTTTATTTTAGTTCAAATATTAGATGAGAATTATAAAAAAATCAAGTAATGAAAAAGCCCATTGGCTATACAAAGAATTGGCAGATAATCATGAGATTGTGATGAGATATTGAGAAAGTGAACTTGGATGCAAAGGATGTTTAAAGAATTACAGTTGGGATAATGTCACATTAATGAAACATTAAAGGGATTGTTGAATTGATTTTATTTCTTCTAATGAATCAGGAAATTCATTATCTAATAAAACATCATTATCATTCTAAAATTATAAAGCTCTTAGTGAATTAAATTTTTTTGTGAAGAGTGAATAAAAACTTATTTTACTTACTGGAAAATATTGAATCCAATTTCTCAACATTTTATAAGAAATTTTTATTTCTTCAATCCAAACTTTTGTCATAATATTTAATCTACTAATCACTGACATACATGTTAAAGCAAATGGCATGAATTCTGTTGAGCATAATAATTTATTACAACTACTATTTTAATTTTCAAAGAAAAAATTTATTATTTTAATTAATAACTATTAAAATACTATTAATATTATTAAATTAATTTATTATTACTTGTATGTATCAGCATAACAATCTAATGCCTATATAAATACAATATAATTATACCAAAAATCATAATACATATATAAATTCACATATTAATATATATATTCTTTACCTTATTCATTAACAATGTTCCACCAATTAATCTATTGAGTATATAAGATACCATTTCCTGTGATGGAACATGATTCCAATTACTTTCATCTATTTTATTTCTTCCCACCCAAAAAAATTAATTTATGTGATATATATATAAGTACATATATATATTTATTACACTTACATATCAAAAGATTTTTCTTTTCCATAGAATATTGCAATAAAATGTAAAAATGATTCGTAAAAATTCATTTCCTTCAATCTATGTAAAATCCTCCTTATCTTTTATTTTATTTGATTTCCATTAATATATATATATATAAACATTTACTAAATAAATTAAAATTACCTCAACTATTTTATGAAAATATTCAGAACGTTTATGTTGATTCTTATTCTTATAATAAAGTTTTTCCAAGACATTTAATTCATCCCAGAATTCTTTGTTCTGACAAGTTTTTATAAAAGAAAATAATTGGTTGAAATTTTTAGAGTGTAATTGATTAAATGGATCTTTTAAAGAACCCTTTGGATGTAATGTAATGGAAGGCTTTATTAAATATCTGTCAGTTGAAGACATTTTTAAAGAATTTGTTTTGTAAGCATGAAGATCTACATGATCATAATAATAAAAAAAAATTTTTATATGTAAATAAATCCTAATGGGAATTGTTGCAGCAAGTTAAACAACATGATAAACTTTACCACCTATGTTTTCAATATAATTTATCATTTTTACTAATATTATCACCCAGTGAATTTATTTAAACATTACTATATAATTTATTATTTCTATAAATTTTTTTTTTTTATATTAATATGTTAATAATCTACATTACAGTCATGAAAATCCAAATAAAAGAGAAGACAATACTTTTGAAAAAAAGTCTTTAAAAAATCAATATTTGGAAAGATTTTGTTGAATAAGTTTTTATCTTTCATATATAAAAGGACAAAATTGTTAAGGATAATCATATTTCTACTGATCAAAATAACAAGTAAACCTTATTACACTAAATCAGGAAGATCCAAATCCTCCCTATAGCTAATTGTGGCTTCATAGAAAG